CTAACATATTAATATGTAACTTATCTGAGAATGAAAAGTTATGTGAGTAATAATTGATGCTGACAGACTTTTTGTCCTGCTTTCCGAACATATACAGGAACTATATATAACATCACTGCAAGCGTCACAGTAGTTAGTGATATATACTTCATAAGTAAAACGACACATGTTTGTTTCGAACATGGTAACTGAACTGTGTTGCTGGTGAATACGAATTAATGTGTTTGTTGCAGAGACTGTGAATGGGTTTCTGTGAACAGAATTTGCAATCAGTGACTGAATTATAAACAAATATATAATGAATATTGATGAGTATGGTCTAAATGATGCTTTCCAATGATGTAATTGTTGTGTGAATTGTGAATAGCCAATAGTATTACGAATATTGTAACTGGACTTTTCCGAAATTTCATAGTACCACTTGACGTTTTTGAATCGACCTATTTGGTGACTGTACATCCTTTGTAAATACTAAACAACTAGTTAAGATTATAGGAGGATTGAAGAATCAAAAGCTTTGTTTACAACGAGGCGAACAGCTACATTCTGTTAGCTGCTATCCCATCTACCTATTAAATTCGATACTCACAGAGAAGTTGGATCATTTGTGTAATTATTGGTTTGCTGCATTGGTTAAGCTGAGAAACTATCCACACGTTTTCTGACATGCACCTTGTGGCTTCTGTACATCAATTGGAGGGATTAAACCTTTCTAACATTCAAGTTTTTAGCAGAGAACAACTTATGGAATTGCCGTATAAGGAAAATTATATCAATGAACAATCTTCAAGTTGACGATAACTGTGTTTATTATTGTCACTTCAGAGAATATGCATCTGATGAATTATTCAAACATAGGTGTGACAACTATGCACAATCTTACGACATTTTTGCAAAAGCATACTACAAGCGAAGAATTCGTAGCATCTGAGATACCGCGGGAGATTGGTGAAAGTTAGTATTCTTTTGCACCATACATCCTGTTAGTATTCATTGAATAATGCCTGCTGAAACCATTATGTCACTCTAACAAACCTCAAACTGGTCATGTTGAAGCGCAGTTTCAACCAGTTTCACGGCAATGAATACCAATCGATCTTCAACAGCTTTATTTTACCCAATTAAGAAGATGGAAATTTAGTGTTTCCAACCTCATTCCAGAAATATATGAATACACTGGAATGAAACACGAAATCATTTCGATAGCTCAAATTAAACCCTCATGAAGAGTTCCTCAAATCACCGAACCTTCACCCAATAAAGTATATGTGTCCCAGGGTTGACCATCTGATGAGTAACGCTCCCACCACACTACTTTAAAAACTCGCTTAAACCCCGTCCCCACACAGAACCTTGGGGTTACATTTACAAGTTCGAAGAAACATAGCAGAATGAACTTTTATCACACCTTATACCCTTTAAAAACAGTCAAATTGTGGAAGTTGCTGGAAGCTGAGTTAGTTCAGGCGACGTCCTAGGAGTGCTTTATGAGAAAATGACATATTCTTTGGGGCTAAATATAATAGTTCACGATCCCTTACTTACGCCATTTACCCCCTCTTCGTGGAGGAACATAGGTCGCCCATCAGCATTCTTCATACAACTCGGTCTTGTGCAATCCTTTTCACTTTCTATTGATCCTTTTCATGTTTGCTTCCTATTCCCAACGTGGTGTGTTCGTCGGCTTACCTCTTTTCCGTTCACCATTCAAAGTCAACGTTTCCCCTCTGATGCAGTTTGATGATTTCTTCAATGTATGTCTTAACCGACCACAACGTCAATTCCTAATTTCCTCCTCAGATGGAACCTGATTCGGTCCTTCCCATAGTGGGCTGTTGCTGAGGTTCTTGTTGTCCTATTGAAGATTGTGACCTTGATGTTCGTTGGCAGTTGTTTCGAGTTTTATACGTTCTTGAACTGTAGGAATGCTGTTGTTACTTTGTAACAGCTCAGGTTGGTTGGTTAAGAGTTGACCCCAAACAACCAAGCATATGCTAAAACAGTATTGTTCAAGTATTCATTCACTTCCTTACTTTTTGTAAGCGTTATATTCCCTATTATCTTATATTGAATGTTGAGAGCCTTTGTTTGTCTGAACAGATAAACCCACGCTCCACTGTGACTGCGCGAAGATCGAAATAAAGACCTATTCACTACTTCTCTGGTTTCTTCTATCGATAGCACGAGGGTTACCTTAAGGCACGAAAACTTTGCCAATCCATGACTTTACATCTGCATTGGGTACTCCTTGTCCATCGATGATGCTACCCAGATACATGGAAGTTCCCACTTCCCTCAGAGTTTCTTTTTCAAGTGTGGTTTGGTTAGTGCTCTCCTTGTTGTATTTGAGGATGCTGCTCTTTCCTTTGTGTATGTTGAGGCCTACTTATGCAGAGGCTGCTGCTACATTGGTTGTCTTCATCTGCATTTGTTGGTGCGTATGAGACAGGAGAGCCAGATGATCTGCGAAATCCAAATCGTCTAGTTGCATGCAAACTGTCGATTGTATTCCGCGCCTCCCGTCAGATTTGGAGGTCTTTATAATCCAGTAAACCACCGGAAGGAAGAGAAGGGGGAGAGTAGGCATCCTCGTCTGACTAGGTTCCTTATTGGAATGTGTCTGTCAACTACCCTGCATACATGACTTTGCAGTGTGGTTCATAGTATGAATTTCGTATGGTGTTGATGATTCTCTCAGCTACCCACTCCATAGTGTCGAAGAATATAATAATATAATATAATAATAATATCCCGTCCACACTGTCAAACGCCTTCTCATACTCAGTGAAATTGATGTATAGTGACGAGTTCCATACAACTGATTGTTCAACAATGATCCATAGTGTCGCGATTTGATCTATACATGACCGATCATTACGGAATCCAGCCTGTTGGTCTCAAAATTAAGTGTCTAATAAATCTTTCATCTGGCTCAACATCACTTTGTTGAAAATCTTTCATGGTTCTGACAGTAGTGTGATACATCTGTAGTACTCGCACTCTCTCAGATCTTTCTATTGTGTATTGATGATGTATCTTCCATTCCAATCTGACGACACTTGTTCTTCCTTCCAGATCTTCCTTAATAAAACTCGAAGCATTTTCGCATTTTCTTTTGAGCTTCAGCTGGTACATGGTCAGGTCCTGCTGCTTTCCCATTCTTTATTTGTCTGATTACAAACTTGATTTCTTCAATCGTTGGTCGAGTAACATCTACAGAAAGGTTTGTGTATGTTGCTTCGATGGATTCAATGAAGCTGGCCAATTCAACAGTTCCTAATAGCGTTTTATCCATCTTTTCTTCTGTTCTTGAATCTCAGTGATTGTCTTTCTTCCTTTGTCCTTGACTGGTCTCTTTGGTTTACTATATCTCCCTGCTAGTTTCTTAATTGTTGCTTCATATTTCCTTCCCTTGCAACCTTTCCCACTATCATTGCTAGCTCTTCCACGTACTTCCACTTTTCGGTTCTAATTCTCCCCTTCACTTGCTTTTTGGAATCCGTGTATTCAGCTTTGCCTTGACTTTCTCTGCTCGTGTTTGTCAGTTGTTGATTACTATCTTTCTGTTCTTCCTTTCTTAAATCTTGTCCAGGGTGTCGATAAAGATCCATTCCTTGTGTTGGAGCTTCCTGAGACCCAGAACGTCCTGACACCTTGACATTAATTCCTTTTTGGTACCGTTCCAATTGTTCTCCATGGTAGCGTCTTTGAGTAGATCTTGTAAGGCTTGGAACCTGTTGTTGAGAGTTATCTTTAATCCGTTGAGTTTCTCAGTGTCTCGAAGGAAGGCTATATTGAACCTTTGTAGTGGTGTTTCCCCAGCTGTTCAGTGCTCCATTAGCTTGTTTCATCTTGGCCACAACCAGGTGGTGATCTGGAGCTACGTCAGCTCCTCTCCTGGTTCTCACATCTTCCACTGTCCTTCGGAATTTTTTGTTGACACAAATATGATCTATCTGGTTTTCTGTAGTGTGGTCCATGTATCTTTATGTAAGCGTTTGTGTGGAAACATTATGCCACCTGTAGTCAATTTCTTGAATGCACATTGATTTATAAGTCTCTCATTAGTTTCGTTTCTCTCTTCCAGTCCATGTCACCCCGTGATATCTTCATATCCTGTGTTGTCCATTCCAACTTTGACGTTTGGATCTCCCACCAGCATACTAACTTACTTTCCTTAGCACTTTCCTATGACGGATTGCAGCTTCTTATGGAATTGATCCTTATCGTCGTCATTGCTATTATTGGTGAGTGCACAACATTGGATAATGTTCAGCGTGATTCCTTCCTTCAAAGTTTTGAAGGATGATTTGATGACCATGAACCCATGAGATTTCCATCCTGTAAGTGTATTTCATGCTTCTTTGGACACCGTCGGAACAACTCCCTGAGTGTGTGGAGCATTTTCTTCTTCATGACTGCAGTACAGCTGCATCTCTGCCGTATCTAGCCTTTACTGTACAGCTTGGGTCCGATGGGTTTCGCTGATTCCAAGTACTGTCAACTTATTTCTACTAATTTTCGTTGCTGTTTGACTAGTCTTTCCGGTCTCTCACATTGTCTGGTTATACCGTGTGTCTATATTAATTGTTGCCCTGGTTGTTAGAAGTGGTATCGGCCTCGTGACATCCGAAGAATCTCGGCTTTCATCATGAGGCGTCATAATTGGGCGTTCAACTTCAAGAACAGAGTTTGGTTGGCGCCTTTTTAGCAAATTTATTTTCTACGGTATGAGGATGCCGACCCAATGCCAAACCCTCCCTTTCTAACCCGGGCTTGGAACCGGCGGTAGACGTGGAATAGATAGCAATATTTCTATGTTTACGATGAAATACGCCTACGTCCCTAAATGAGGTCATCCATGGACCACTGCCACCAAATACAGAAGCTCATTTGGCGAAAACGTTACTTCCGTCCACTTTTGTTTGAATCATCTGAACAAAGCCTCTCAAGGTCGTGGAGGCGGATTCGGTCACGGATCAGATTGCCTATTGTCAGCTATGGGTCACGCCCTGTCAACATATAAGGACCCGGAATCTATGCCGGATATCTTCACGGGCCCAGTTTTTGACCCAGTTGATGGCTTTCCTGAGGGTCGCAAGCGTCGAGAGTTCATAGTACGTTTTTTTATTTGACAAATTTAATACTTTTCGTGATAATGGTGTCGTACTCACAGTTTTAAAATATTAGGAAACATAAATCAGTGTGAAATTAAAAGCAACAATTTAGTAGTGATTTTCACTCTTTCAAACTTTACATTATCTAGTTGGACAATAAAATAGTCCACTGAGAGCAGAAAAAGTATTTTAACTGTGTTTTCCCTTAGTTCTCTCACATTAGTGTTGGTTTCACTTTATGGGTAGGAATTAATTTCATTGCAGCTAATTTGGGAATGAGTTGATACGACTCGTTGGTTTATAGCTCGCATTCGTATTTCGCAATATTGCTGTTATATTGGTTGAGATGTCATATCTATTACTTTAAAAGTCAACTCGGATCTGACTTCAACCGTAAAGTACTTAAATGTACATACGCGAGTCAGTGAATACGTAGTGAAATCGCCTTAGACATAATTGTTACGATACAACTTGGTGAAACGGTCCTTGTGGGCTATTTCATTATCAACACTGTACAGCATAATTTATAGGTCAACAGACAACTGTATTTGTGAGAATTAGACTGTTTTCTGCGTGGAATTGTATGATATATTGGAGTGAAAAATGATGATTAAGGAAATCCATAAAACGAGTTATAAATATAATCATTAAGATAGAACTATATGTCAATTTAAGATAGACACTTTTACTAAAAGCATTAAGTTGAAATTGAAACGTATTCGTTTTAGTAAAGAAATCACTAGAAATACATCATTGGTGTAATGAGAACGTGATAAAAGTCATATATAAAAATAATTTGGTTTGTGGTGCTCATAGTAACCATGTTAAGTGGTCTAGGGCGTCAAATACTATTTCAGAAAAGATGTCAGCTTTTGATTTGTATTCGTTTTCCTCTAAGGCCCGGACTTCCATTTGGATAACGCTTTGTATTATTTAGGTCATATTTTTTCCTCTTTGTATCGGTATAAAGCGCGGTGAAGTAAAACAGTACAAATGTTCCAAATTACAAATCCTTTTTCGGAAATAAACAAAAATTGTTATCCTATTACTTTTAAAATCGATCAGTCAATTTAAATGTGCTTTTCCAACTTTCATATACACTTTTGACCTTTACATAAATCATTGACTAGACAATGCTTTCATGCACGGGACATTCTGTGAATATGCAATTAATTTACCATTGTATCTGTTTAACTCCTCTTTGTTCTAAGCTTTTATTTACGTGCGTTTAAAAAGTGCTAATAACTTGTAAACCAAATTTCGGATCACAAACTTTTGGTAAGCTAACTTGGAGCATTCCTCGAATTGTTTTTTCCGATATTAATATGGGTAGAGGGAAAACAAAATAATAAAACTTTGTTAAGTGATTTAAAAAGCTGGGTAATATTGCTTTTGTACACTATATGACTATCTAGACAGTAATTAGATTACTTTGTAAGTCATCATATAGTAATGAGTGGTGCTTACTTACGCCTGTCACCCCTCGTGGAGGAGCATAGGCCACCACCACCATTCTCCATCCAATCCTTTCCAATTGTCATTCATCCTTTACATATCTGCTTCTATTTCCCAGCGTAATGTTCATTGGCATGTGCTCACTCATACAACGTAGAACCTGACACACGTGCAACGGTTTGAAATGCCAGACCACAATATCACAGTGAGCCAAAATTGTTACGTCAAACACTACTCAGTCAGCTACAACGTAGGACCAGGCACATATATGCATCGGTCCAAGTTGCCATACCCAGTCAGCACAACAAGATGAACACCGAATTCATAGAAATAGTTAATTTAGTGGTGTTAATATATACAAGAAAGGTCGTATAGAAGGATATGGTACAGGAAGAAAGACAGATATGAAGCAATTTAACCTCATATTTTAAGGGAAGATAAAGAGTGTATACACCCACACCATTGTGATCGATTCTGAGCCATGTCACCCAGTCTCCAACCATTGGTTACGATAGTCACACGGACCCCAACCAAGTAGTTTACATCTACCAACATGGCTCAGACTAGAAGTTAGTGACTTCAAGCACTGATGCCACGTTTTGGTTTGGCCGCCCCTAACTTTCTTCTAGCCATCCCCTACACTAGTCAGCATTGCGCGTCGTGGTAATCGGTGTTCAGGCATACGTAACACATGGCCCAACCATCTCAGTCGATGAACGTTCATGACTTCATCAACTGATTTACCATCATTCCCTAATACTCTGCGTCTAACCTCACTATTACTTAGCCGGTGATCCCAGCAGATGCGAGCAATATTTCTAAGGTATCTGTAGTCAAATACTAGTAACATACGAGCATCTTCTACTCTTAATTGCCATGTTTCACAGCCGTAAATTAGAACAGAGCGAACTGCTGCGCAGTATACTCGTCCCTTAATTGATATTTGGATATCTCGTCTTCTCCATAGGTGACGTAAGTTGGTGAAAGCCGAACGAGCTTTTTGAATCCGTGCTGATCAGACTTCCAAAATAAGTGAAGTTGTCGACGTGTTCGACTACTTCACTCTCTATCCTTAGTTCATGGGTTGACGCAGGCCAGTCCTTGAGCAACAACCTGCATTTGGAGGGGGAGGGAGAAATGCATACCAAATATCTTGGCATTGTTACTAAATGCTGACAGATGATTCTCCCGACCGTTGCCGCTACCTTGACGTGGTGGTCGGGCTTGCCTATCGTGATGATTCAATCGAGCTATACTGGCTGGGACAATCGTTCCTCAATGTCCTACCATGCCAGACAGGTCGGTTGAAGAGCGGTGAGACTAAAAGAAGCAAACCCAAGGTCCGAAGGCAAAGTCGTACTGCTGACTGTACAAGATTGTGACAACAGTAAGGTGTTTCCTTCAGACAACCAGCATAACAGCGATGCTGCCTTCCCACAAGAAGGGTGGGGTTAGAAAAGGTCGACCCTAAAAATACACACCTCGCCTTATCCCACGGATTTCCATCTCCGGCGGTAAGGTCCCAACAAGTACGGAGCTAACACGAAAACTACCCACAAGGAGGTCGTGTGTGACCGACCTCAAGCAGTTGTCCCTTGGGCACTGCGGTCACGCTCTCAGATCATTAAGACCACTTCTAACCTAATATCCTTTTTAGGTACCTCTAAAAGAACCGTTCCACGGTGTGGGCAACCGGGAAGTGATACTTACCCTCATACCTCTAACAGCACTCAAGACCACTGTATTCAAAATCAATCTCCTTCACTTCCTACTATTCCTTCTACCTCGACTTCCAACACTAAGCTTCCTCTTTCGGTTTCCTCCTCAAGTGTCACCATGGTCGACGATTCTAGTGCGCGAAACAGTCCCAGGTCTACTAAAACCTCGCTCCAAACTACACATTGGGGCCCTCAACGTACGTACCCTAAGTCAGATCGGTCGACAGGCCTCCTTGGCTAAGATCCTAAAATCTCGTACCTTTGATGTATGCTGTGTCCCCGAAACACGCATACAGGATCCCAGTGTGGTCATTCAGTTGACCGCACCTCGCGGCCTGCTTGAATACCTGGGCTACCTGTTTCTGCCATCTAAATATTTCAACAAGTTATCTGGGTTTTTTTAATTTGTTTTATCTTGGTGTTACTTTTTCCTCTGATCTTTCTTGGTCTTCTCATGTTTTACTATTATCGAAAAAAGTTTACCGCTTGACATACTACATAAAGAGGCTGCATGCTTTTGGGATTACTCGCCATTTACTCTTACAATTTGTAAATTCCTGCATATTACCTATTATTTTATATTGTTCTCCATTATTCTTTCCTGGGCTTTTGAGAAAAGACTTTGCTATTTTGCGTAGAATGCTGAAGGCGGTTTGCAAGGTATGTGGTGAATCTTTTGAAGTCATTGTTAATATGCTTGTGGATAGACATCTTAAGTGTTGCAAACTCTTGGCAGGTGTTATCTTATCAGATACTAACCATCCGCTTCATTCATATCTTTCTCCTTGTATATCTTCTGGTAGAACGAGACGTAAATACATTAAAATCCATGCACGCAAGCAAATCTATAAAAGTTCTGTAATACCTTACTTAGCAAATTTACTTTGTGACGAACAGGCTGTTAGAGTTGACCTAGTAAATAACCTGTCTTCTTAAGCATGTCTCAAATTCGATAATTTGTATAAAGTCGGTTTTTCCTAGACCTTTTTTTTAATTGTTTTGTTTGTTTTTTCGGGTTTCCTTTTTTGGTAAAAAACTTGTTGAAATAACTCGTGCTGAGAATTCTATATTGTACCAGATTATAATATTGAATAAAGCCATTAATAATAATAATAATAATAATAAAATGGACAGCCAACGAAATACACCCTCCGTGTATCTAGCGACCCCATGACTAATTCTCGTGGACATGTGGGAGTAGGCATAGCACTTAGTACGAGGGCAGAACAAGCACTACTAGAATGGATCCCCGTTAACAGTCGCCTGTGTGCTGTCCGGCTAAATGGCTCCGTAAAAACTCGGAAGGATAGGGACACACGTCGTTGCCTTTTCGTCGTTTCTGCCTACGCTCCCACTGACTGCAGCCATGATGAAGTGAAAGGTGACTTTTACAGAAAGCTCTCTGAGCTTCTTCAGAAAGCTAAGCGCTCAGACATAGTAGTCGTAGCGGGTGACTTTAATGCCCAGGTAGGCAGCTTAAATCAAACAGAAAGACATTTAGGTGGGTGTTTTAGTATTCCGGCTCAACGAACCGATAATGGTGATCGTCTGTTGCAACTATGCTCAGACAATCGTTTATTTTTAGCAAGCACTAATTTTAAGCATAAGGAGAGACATCGTCTAACATGGCGACCACCTGCACCAAACCAACAATGGACTCAAATAGACCATATTGTCATCAGTCATCGTTGGAGAGGCTCAATAGAAGATTGTCGCTCGTATTGGAATACTTGTTTAGACTCTGATCACGCTTTAATACGAGCGCGCATTTGTCTGCGCCTCAATGGACGCAGGAAAAGTACACTAAGAAGACCCATTAGGATTGAACTGCAGGACGAGAAAGCCAAATGTAAATTCCAGAAACAACTGAGTTCACATCTAGGCAGTTCTGTAAACGAGACTGACCCAGATGCTGCTTGGAAAGACATACGAACAGCTGTGGAAACAGCAGTTACATCTATTAGTCATTTAAACCATAGGGCTCCAAAAAACCAATGGATTTCTTCTGAGTCTATTTCACTGATGGATTCGCGTAAACTCATCCCATCAGGCTCTGAACACGACGAAGAACGTAAACAAATTAGATCTAGGTTAACTAAGGAACGATCGTGAGCATTGGTGGGCAACGAAAGCAAAAGAGATGGAAAATGCAGCGGCTGTAGGCAACACCAGGCAACTCTTCAGACTAATAAAAGAAACCGGAATTAAGAAGTCAAGTGTAAGTGAGACAATCTCGGAAAAAGACGGAACCCTTATCTGCTCTCAACCCAAACGTTTAGAACGATGGGCGGAACACTTTAAGGGGTAGTTTAGCTGGCCTTCAGCTACTACGCAACTACCCACTATTCCCAGAAAACCTGAACGGAACATTGAAGTAGGCCCCCCGACCCTGCTTGAAGTTCAAAAGGCTGGGCATATGCCTGGGCATATATATGCATTATCAACACAGTGTATAAACGTATCAAACGAAAAGTCTGAACCAAAACACTATTTTTGCTAAGTGGAGTTTATGTTATAAAGGTTAGTTTTTCAGTGTTCAATATACAAGACAAGGTTACAAACTGAGGAGTCTTGTTCTAAAACTAGTTAACTAGGGTCTGTTTTCACAAAATATTTTAAGGAGTAGTTCAGCTACTTTACAGTTACCCACCATTCCCAGTCAGCCTGAATGGAATACTGAAGTAGATCCCTCGACTCCAGCTGAATTTCAAAAGCATATGGCTAGTCTAAAACGAGGAAGAGCGGCTGGTCATGATGGATTGGCTCTGGAGGTCTTTATATATAGTGGTCCAGTTTTAGCGATTAGGTTGACTAATATTTTGGCTAAAATCTGGGAGTTTGACGTAATCCCATCTGACTGGCCACAATCATTGGTGATTGTCCTAATGTATAGGGAGTCAAAGTCGTCCTGTGATAACCATAGATGGATTATTTTTTGATGGAATTCTGTTCTCTGAGCTTGACGGTTTGATCGTGAAGCTTTCATCGTTTTTCTGAACGATATTATCAGCACAAACTTCGGGTTGGGCAGAGAGGTTATATATATGTTATATCTCAATGGGTAGGAAAATTTTATTTCTGACGTTTCGTGACGTAATTCGGTAATTTACTTACTCTGAAAAAGTGACTTACATTAAGTCACGAAACGTCAAAAATACGATTTTTCTACTCATTGAAATATAACAAAAAATATATTTATTAATAACTATCTTATGTTGTCATCTGGATACTGAAGCCACTTGTTAATATTTTTTGTAATTCAATAATCCCAACATAGAATACGCTTTTTTTCTTTTAGCTGACTGAGGAAGAAATGATAGCTGCAGGACTAAAACCATACGAACGAGATTACTGCGCTCACCTTTTGCTCGCTTTCAGGAAATGCGGAGATGAACATGTTATACCAGCTTTTTACTGTTCCGATCTGAAACATAAATATCATCATTGTAAAGAAAGTGACCTGCTGCATCGAATGAAGGAATACGAACGCGAACGCCGTCTTTTACACAAGCGTACATCAATTTTAGAATGATGCATAATAACCAGGATATCATATTGTACAATAATTTCGAAAAAAACGAATACAGACTATCATGCCTAGAAGTTTGTTTCATCCTGCTAATAGTTACATGATCAACATTTAGAAAGAGGATGTTTGGCAAAATATTTTTAGTTTATACTCTATGGCGTTTACTTTTTTGCTTTGCAAATATATATTTCTCAACTAGCTACTCAGGGATGTTTTAGACCATTAATGATAATCAATCTACAATTAGGACTTTACAGAATCTTTTAGGGTCTCGATATAATGGAGTAATGATAGATGGTATTTTCAGAACCTGCTTTTCTCTTAGTGGCTATGTTCCTTTTAATTATTGTATTAGTCGAATTGTTTTTTCTGTTTATTAACAGATAAAGTTATAAGCCAAGTTGTTTTTGTTCTGGCCATAGCTTTCACATTGACTCTGGGTTGTCAGTATCGCGTTTACAGTTCCGGCAGCATATCTTTCGGACAAATTAGATCCCACACTAGCTGTCACGAAATTTCGAGAGAGCTAACTGGGATTATGCCCATGATGTGGGCGGCTAATCAATTAAAATATCGTTGTACACTAACTACTCTTTAGAGTTTTGTTAATTGAAAGCACCACTTTTAAACACCATGTACGTCAATTGGTGTCCTTGATATTATGTTTAGTGCCAAGTTCTTGTGTACATATGTTGCCAATAATTAGTGTTGGGATGGTCCTAAGAATTTCTCGCAATAGAAATGACAAGCTCAGGATACATTACGAAGCATTTCATCCAATCAGCGTTGACTAGAAGTTTTACTAAAAACATCACCAAAATGAAAAGACACATGTAGAGTTTATGATTGGTTGCTTACTAAACTGCTGCTATGTTTAGTGACATTCCAGAATTTTTAGGAAAACCCAAGGACTTTTAAAATACTATAAGAACCCTATATTTTTGGAGTAAAGCGCTTATTGCGGATTCGCGCCTTTTCTCTCGTGTTCAAGTCGTTGTGTAGATTTAGCTTAGGGGTTACGAGACTAGCTTAGGATCCGAGTATAGCATCCAATCAGTAAGACTTATCAATTAGTTAGTCAGTCATACACAACACAGGACTTAGCGCGTATGTGCATCAGTTCGAGTTGGCACACCACACTAAGATTGCGGTATGAAAGTATCAGGACGTCCCTGAGGAGGGAAACAGTCATATTATTAGTAGTAGAAAAGACGAGAAGAGGCATAGGAAGGTTTTGAGGCTAAGGATGTAAGGGATGACGAAGGGTAAATACACCTGCTTGTCTCAGTTGATCCTGGGCAGTTTTATCCATCGTTTCACACCACTGATTATGGTAAATGCCTAAACTCCAACCAGGTAGTCTGCACCTATCTACATGGATAGGTCCAATTATCAATGAAGTCATGGGCTGATGCCAGGTTTTAGTTTGACCGTCTCTATCTTCTACACCAACGTTGAGCATCGAGGTAGGAAGCGGTTGAGCATACGTGACACATGTTCCAACCACCTTAATTGGTAAACATTCAGCACTCCATTGACCAACTTGCCATCTACATTTACAAAATTGTCTCTAACCTTAATATTGCTCACAGTCAGTCAGCTACAACGTAGGACCAGGCACATATATGCATCGGTCCAAGTTGCCATACCCAGTCAGCACAACAAGATGAACACCGAATTCATAGAAATAGTTAATTTAGTGGTGTTAATATATACAAGAAAGGTCGTATAGAAGGATATGGTACAGGAAGAAAGACAGATATGAAGCAATTTAACCTCATATTTTAAGGGAAGATAAAGAGTGTATACACCCACACCATTGTGATCGATTCTGCGCCATGTCACCCAGTCTCCAACCATTGGTTACGATAGTCACACGGACCCCAACCAAGTAGTTTACATCTACCAACATGGCTCAGACTAGAAGTTAGTGACTTCAAGCACTGATGCCACGTTTTGGTTTGGCCGCCCCTAACTTTCTTCTAGCCATCCCCTACACTAGTCAGCATTGCGCGTCGTGGTAATCGGTGTTCAGGCATACGTAACACATGGCCCAACCATCTCAGTCGATGAACGTTCATGACTTCATCAACTGATTTACCATCATTCCCTAATACTCTGCGTCTAACCTCACTATTACTTAGCCGGTGATCCCAGCAGATGCGAGCAATATTTCTAAGGTATCTGTAGTCAAATACTAGTAACATACGAGTATCTTCTACTCTTAATGGCCATGTTTCACAGCCGTAAATTAGAACAGCGAACTGATGCGCAGTATACTCGTCCTTTAATTGATAGACGGATATCTCGTCTTCTCCATAGGTGACGTAAGTTGGTGAAAGCCGAACGAGCTTTTTGAATCCGTGCTGATCAGACTTCCAAAATAAGTGAAGTTGTCGACGTGTTCGACTACTTCACTCTCTATCCTTAGTTCATGGGTTGACGCAGGCCAGTCCTGGAGTAACAATTTACATTTAGATGGGGAGAAATGCATCTCAAACATCCTGGCATTACTACTCAGTTCTAACAGAAAACTGCATTTTGTCAACATCTTCACCAAACAAGACTATGTCATCTGCGTATTCTAAGTCGCTTAGTGGTCCCCCTGGTAGGAGATCAATTCCTGAAAATTCTGTCGACGAGAGTGTTATTTCCAGCAATAGGTCTATAATGAAGTTAAACAAAAGTGGGGATAGTGGACAGCCTTGACGGACACCACGTGAGGTTGTAAAATCGTATGACAGTCCGACATAAGCTCTCACTCGACTGGTAGTGTTCGAGTAAAGAGCCTTCACAAGGTTTATGTACTTCTGACGTACACCTTTCAATGACAGAAACTGCCACAGAACCTCTCGGTCTATAGAGTCAAATGCTGCTTTTAAGTCAAGAAAAACTATCATTGTCAGACGCCGACAAACATGTCCGTGCTCTAAAACCTGACGAATGGTGAATATGTGGTCGATGCAGCCACGACTAGGTCAATATTGCTCACTCGGTATTTTCAACACATTCGAGCGACGCTTAGAAGACATTTTTGCGGGAATATTGGTAACCTACGGCTCAAGGCCCATTAATATTTTCTGAATTAAAGGGTGCCTTAGAGCCCTCAAAATTTCATGTAATTTCCGTTCCACATACGTGTTGTCCTTTAGATAAATATTCCCCCCCCCCGATTTCGTGTAAGGAATAGTTTAGTTTGCAGGTTCACAAAACCAGAGCATAAGCTTGGCAAGAATATGTTATTTCAAAAGGTTTAAGATATTTCAAGACCAATAACTCTATACTGTTTATTCTCTAAAATGTTCAAGGTAGTGATAATCGAAGGTATTATGAATGTAAACAAACGTTATCAGATTACAGGTGTGGAGTTGACAGTTAGCATGGATCAGAGTTCTACAATCGTCACTTTAACTGTTATTTTTTTGCACATTTCAAGTAGAAGCAAACAAATTTAGCCGTGCTTCCAGAGTGTCAATACAACAAAGATTGTGTTGCTTAAAGAAACATACAGATAAGTATATATACTTGTCTTCTTGATTCCCATAGCTAATTCCTAATCTTTTGACTTCAAATAAAAGTAATTCATAATTTCCTATGAAACTGTTTGGCAGTTAATGGTCTTAAACAACACTGAGGCTTTCACACAGTTTTCATATTGATTTGTACTCAACCAACAACATACTCCTGGCTGAGCAGTAGGCTGACATGTGGGATATATTTTAGGTAGTTTGGTGTTTAGACTTAAAAGTTTACTAACTAATTCACCTTTATGGACAAAAAATCCGACTTCAACGTTTATTCCTGAGTAGGTGTATTGCACGACAAATACTCTACGAAGATATAAACGTTTGAGAATAATGGAGTTTCGATATCATTCAGTCGTAGTAGCTATTTTTTTATGCAGTGGAATAACCGGAATGTTTCATAGAATAACTGCGTTTCGGTAGATGATTAGTTCTGGTCGTGCACTTCTAATCAGTCAACAAACCTATCATATTTACGTTTTGATGCACACGAACCCTAGTCCATCGGTAGACATACACTTTCCAGAACAAGGCGATTGCTGCTATGTTAACTAACAATAAACTGAAGTCGGATGTCGATATGGTGCACTCGTGGAGTATTATCCAATACTTGGCAACCTTTAAGCACATTAAACCGCAGTCTACTGTTTATTATGTTTGAAAATAGTGTCCTACGCCCCAGAATATTAATGACTTTACCAGTGTCTTAATTTGGGCTGTGGGATCCTAATCAGTCTGTGAATTGAAGTTGCAGATTGTTACCTAGTGATAGTAAGTCATAACAAAGAACAAAGGTTATTAGAGAATCAACGTTTCATGTTACTTATTATCCTGAAAAGCTTGATAGACGGCACTGAGAGTGAAAATTCTGGTGATGCATTTAAAGTGTAGCAAAGTCTCATTTGACCGCATAAGTATCCGAAAAACTAGTTAAGAAGGCTTCATAAACATGTACGAGTTATTTAAAGTTATTCATTAATAAATCTGAAACATCAGTACTCCCAAAACATTGTAAATTGAGAATCACCCATACACTTTCTCCAATGAACTGAAATTTCTAAGCAGGAAGTAGAAGTCAGCAACCAGAACTACTGTCGCGCACAACAAGCCACAGACAATACGCGAGAAGAGTGATATAGAATAACTGGCGAACATTAAATCAGGAAGGAAATATCCGAACGCAAAGGCGGACATCACAATAACAATGAAGTTGAGAACCATAACGAGTTGTTTCCTAGCGCATTTGAGTTCAGAAAAGCAAGTTTTCTGAGCCTTGGAAGTTGTTGAAAAGACCATGGGTGTACCAATATCTTTTGTTATTTTTTCGTAGCATTTGTTATTATACTTATTTCTTAGTTTTTCGCAGTGAGCATCAAAAACTTGATTTCTAAAAGTCTGCTTTATGGCTGGAAGGACTATTGAAGTGTCCAGAGAAATGCGCCAAAATTGGAGATAAATATTGTCCTTGCTAGTGTCCGA